GCAGGCTGGGGTTCCGGCCTTGGCCCCAGTTGGGCGGGCAGGCAGGCCGGCCGTCGCCGTTTTGGTGGATGGAGCACGAAGGCGGCACAGGGAGAGAGTGATACCTGCGCTGATCAGCTTCAGCTCTATCTGCTTGTACATCCCTGCCTTTTGGGTTCCTTGCGTGACTTGAACAGCAGAGCTTTTGTGGTTCACTATCAATTTTTCACAATCACCTGCTGCCACCAGCACCACCATAATTAACTCTGTTTTGAGCTCACATTGTTGAAATAAAATACAGTAGCATAATAAGAATGATGGAGAAATAGCTAACAATGTATGACAGCAAAAACGTAATTATGGTAGTTGTTGTATTTGTAGTAGTATTAGTAATAATACTTACTATTACTATGTACCATGTTTGTTTGTAGTAAATTCTTCTTTAAACCCCCCCCCCCCCAGACCCACAGATGACACGAGATGCAAGCAGTGACAGATTATGATTCACAAGGCCTGTCAGTCATATATGGTTTACTCTTCATACATGTTGGTCATACATGTTTTTGGTGGAAATGCTGGGAAAAAAAATGAGGACAATAGACAAGTTAAAATTTTTTTTTTCGAAAACGACCCGGGATGATGTGAGTGTTAAGGCTGATTAAGGCTTAACACTCACATCACCTCGTTAATTCTGCTGTTATGCTTCACTCCTGAATGGAGATCTTCAGTTAATTACATTCTCAAGCACACAACAGAAGCTTCCCTTCCAAGACTGTGCACATACAGCCTTATGACCATAATTCATAACTGTTACGTCCTTCATGCTATGCCCATATTTGGGCGTTCCCTGGATTTATAACACTGGTGGGCTATACAGTGGCATGGAAATCCGTCCTTATTTCTGCAGGATCGACTGGGTGGTCTACACCATGAAATGGAAATGATGGAAATGGCCGACAGGGGTAAATGTGCATGCAGACAGAAACAGCTAATAGGCCTTTTTGCATTTCTGAATAGCCTTTCAATGGTATATTTTGTTTAATTAGCAGTATGTGTGTGTGTGTGTGTGTGTGTGTGTGTGTGTGTGTGTTTGTTTAGGTTAAAGCTGTGTTTGGGGATGTCAATAGTGGTAAATTGTCGCCTCTGGTGGAAGGTGTGAATTTCTGAAAAGATTTTGAGATTTCATATGAGGCAGATAAGTTGATGCAGAACGGGCTACAGGAGTGTATGTTGTTCAGCTAAATGTGCACAAAGGTGAACTTGTGATCCTAATCAATATACAATCGGATAATCTTTATTATTCCTTGCACTCGAATCTTTCTGATTGGATATTTTTCCTTCTTGTATTAAAATTACATTAAATGGTTATGAAATTGTTTGTTGTACTGTTATTTGTACCAGTACTATTGTATTTTTACAATATGTTTACCTTACGATGTTCCAGCTATTTTCACTAACAAAGAACACAAAGATATAATGATTCATCCATTTACTGTCCAAAGCCACTTATGGAGTACAGGCCCTCTGTGAGCCTGGAGCCAAGAAGCATTGTGTAATGTGGGGGCACCCAGGATGGCAATCCATGGGAGGGGACACACTCACACACAAACATACACACACACACACACACACACACACACATACACACTCACACACAAACATACACACTCACACACAAACATACACACTCACACACAAACATACACACACACCAGGATGGCAATCTATGGGAGGGGACACACTCACA